CTAATTTCTTCTCATCCCTGGAAGTGTCCAAGGCCAGGTTGGACAGGGCTTGGAGCAACCTGGGATAGTGGGAGGTATCCCTTCCCATGGCAGGGGGTGGAACTGGATGAGATTTAAGGTCCCTCCCAACTCAAATCATTCTGTGATTCTCTGATGAGACCCTGAAAAGGCAGACATAGCTAAAGGTAAAATCAAATAGAAGGCTGGGGGGAAGAAATCTCTCCCTGAAATTCTCACACCCTGGGAAGCTGAGTACCAGGGTTGTCCTGGGGATGTTGCTCAGCTGTGTGTGATCAGGGCAGCATTCACCAGGTTTTGGTCTACAGATTGGGTAGAATGGGCAGCCTCATCATCGGGAAACAGAAACTAATCCAGTCCCAGTGTGAGACACTTTGATCTCAGGCAACCTGCCAGGACTGTTGTTGTCCATTAACTCATCTGCACGAGGAGGTAAATGCAGCCCTGAAGTAGCAAATGCTCTTTTAAGAGGTTGCTGAGAAATCTCCTGTCCACGTTTGTCTGCTTTCATCTTGCCCACTGCTGTGCTGATTTGGGAGCGAGCAGAGCCCGGGATGCCCCTGGCTCCCGTGGGATGTGCCCGCTCCCCCAGCTCCTCGGGAGGCAACTTGGACTGGGTTGGCACAAACCTGCAGCCCGAGCTTTGGACAGTGGGAAAAGCGGTGCATCAAAGCAAGCAGCAGTGAAATCATGTTTGGGTTCTCGTTGGAATGTCACAGAGTACCCTGTCATTTTGTTTTAGCAACTTGTCCTTCCAAATGCGCAGTTCGCCTTATGGCATGCCAGCAGTAAAAATGTCACTTACAATAATTACTTTTTGGTGAAAATGCTTGCTGACTTCCTACCTTCAAGCTGTTTTTTACACAGTGGGGAGATAATAAGAAATGACTTTATCCTGACTGCTCAAATGAACACTAAATGGAATTTAGGTTATTATTACTGCAGATAGAGGACTGTGTATTGAAATTTAAATAGTGGATCAGATGAACTACAGAGATTTGTCTCTGAAAATTATAGTGGATCCATTTTTTCAATCCACTTCCCTCTGAAACTTAAGGCAGCTGTTGTCTGCCTGCTGTCTTTAGAATATAATATTTTTCATAATCCTTTTAGAGGCCCCTGAATACCTTCTGTGTTTTGCATGGTCTTCCTCAACTTCACCATGTTCCGTATCTCGTTCCCCATGAGTCTTTTTGCAGTTTATTAGCTAAGCCTGTGTTTCCAGCAAGGCTTGGACAGGTTACTCTCCCAGCAGTTCCAGGAGTACAGGGTGTCTCTATGGATAGACAGATGTCCTGGGAGGAGAGACTGAGAGCGGGCTTGTGCTTTATGCTCACAGATTCAGATGTTCTTGTTCCAATCTCTGAACTTTGGATTTGGATGCAAAGCCAGTTTGCTGTCAGAGGTGAGGCAGGGTCTGAGCAAAAGCAGCAAACCTGCAGCTCTCAAAATGCATGGGAGAAGTTGCAGTGGAGGAATCTGTCTGTGCTGGCAGACGTGATGCCTCTGGGACTGGTGAAACCTTATCTGTGTCTCAACACTGCTCTGTCACTGAATGCCTCCTTGGAGGGGATACAGCAGCCCTGGTGTCACGTCCTGTAGATGTCTCAGATCTTCTGGGGAGCTGGGAGCAGGTGGCACCTGCAGGTCTTTGCATCCGAGATGTCCTGAGCTTCAGAAGGAGCCTCCAGCTGAAGGGGGCTGTGGATCTGAGCTGTGCTTCACCTGTTGGACGCGTCCTGTGGACCTGGGAAGAGTTCCTGCACATCACAGAAATGGTCCCCCTTGAGCAGTGCCCTGCAGTTCCAAGTGTCCCTGACTGCTGGGTTCCTGCAGAGCTGGTGATGCTCGGGAGAGGAGCCTGGGGTTCCTTACGCTCTGCAGGGACTCTGCCCGTGGCAGAACAGAGCAGAGGGAGGTGTCAGGCTGAGGCTGTGCTGGGGGAGTGTTTTCAGCTGATCTGCTGAATCCAGCTCTTCCAGCACCTCATTTTTGAAGCTTTGGAGCTTTTACTTCACATCTTATATTGGATACAGGCTGTTGGAAAACAAACCCCTGTGGTATAGCAAAGTTTACCTGGAATTTATTGAAATGATTTCATCCATAAATGGTGGCCATGGAGTTTGCAGGTTGTTCTGTAATACAGTTTTATATTTATATGGACAAAATGTTCCTTTCTTCCTTAAACACAAATGTGAAAACATCCAGTAAATACTACTTTTAAGAAACTGGATTGCTTTTAAGTTAGTATTATTATTCAGAGCAGTCTGGGGTTAAAAAAGCAGAGCAAATTTTAAAGAAGTAAGCTTTCAATGTATTGTTTTCACTGGAAATGTTCAATTGCTGCTTTGGAAATCTTAATGTATATTTTTCCAATATCCTGAATTTGTGTCTTTGTCTTGTGAGGAACTTGAGAGAAATGAATACAGACAAATTATTTCATAAACCATGCGAAATGGCTGTGGATTGACAGTTAAATCTGGAATAGTGAATACAGTCAATTTTCCCCTTTGTTCTGTCAGCAGTCACTTGTACTCTAAATGTCTATTTAATTTTTTAAGTAGATTAACGGGAAATGTTTGCATTATTTGATTATTTAATTTACTGTCCCAAATAATGGATCTTTTCCTCAAATATTTATGTGATCTTGAAAATGTTTTTCCAGAAGGGAAAAATGCTAAAAATGAATAGGGAACATATTTGGAGTTATTTGTAGTACATGTACATAATGCCTCGCCTGAAATCACTGTACACTTGCCTTTTGGTGGGGAAAAAAAGCAGTTTGTCATCTGTACTGCCTTCCAAAATTAGATTCCGATAATCCCACCTTTTGGAGTAAATGAGCAGCAGATTGGTCTTAAAAACGAAATTCAAGTAAGCTCTTGGTAAGTGATATAAAAAAAATAAGCTAATATGTGAGCAACAGAGAGCATCTCAGTGATAGATGATAACACAGATTACCTTTGTTGTGTTCATAATTAGGCTGGGCAGGGAAAGGAGAAGGGAGAAGGAGGCATTAGGAAATGCTTTTGTTTAGTCCTGTATGGTTGGGTTTGTTTTTTGGGTTTTTTTAAAATTATTTTGTCCTTTTTTTCCCCCCTCTGTGTGCATGTGGCTCACCGTGCACAGATGAGGAATTGTATAGGAAATTTGCAGCTGCTCTAGTTAGTCAGTAAGATTTGTATAAGCTGGCACAAGGGACAAAATTAGAGGGAAGTTGAACGAGTGCTGTGCCGTTTATTAGCTAGGCAGCCATAATTTTGACCTTGCTGTGGGTTAAAGGACACAGACCTGAGAAGAAATCTGTTTATCATGTGGGGAATTCATGCCATCCCTGACAGTGTACAGTGAACAAGATGGATGATCTGCCAAATTGGTCCCTCGCATGGGTGAATCAGGGCAAATTTACAGTACAATTCCTCTGCTGCTCCTGATACAGAAATAACATTTCCCAGGGTTTCTGTTGGGTTGTATGATGACCCAGGGTGAGCAGAGAGAAGAAATAGGATTTGTAGGATCCCCTTTACCTTAAAGATTTACATGCACCTCACTTTCTGTCTTCCTCTTTTGTATCTCACATAAAACACTAAGGAAAAAGTCAGATTTTTATGTTTGAGAGTGCAACTCCAAGTGAGTGTATCAGGGAAGCTCTTGAATGCAGCATGGGAAAGCCCCCAGGACCCTGAACAACAAACACCATTATCCTCTCCACTCTACTCCAAGTTTGGGCCTGACTTTTCCTGTGGCAGTATTTTCCTTCAGCATTTGGGATGTGTTTCCATGCCGCACAGGCTGCGTGCTCTGGAATGATCTGACAATATTCTGGATAAAAACTCAAAACCCAGTGAGGTTTGCTGGCAGCCACTGCCTGAAGGGACCTGAGAATCCTCTGTGGTGGCACCACAGGGCTCAGAAAACTCTGGGCTCTGGGCTCCTCCTTGTGCAGCTGAGAGCTCTGTCAGCCTCCTCCAGGCAGCTGGAGCCAAACCCAGGGATGTGTGAGGATGGAATCCATGCCATTAACCCTGGCAAGCAGTGGCTGGGAGGCAGCAAGGAGGAGGAAGCAGCCCCACAGGAATGGGGAAAGCTGTGGGTGGAGAAACTGCCCGTGCTCCTTATCTCCTGAATGATTCTTGTAAAGCACTTGTGTTGCCTTTGTGCTGTGGCTTTAAAAAAGGTTCAGCCTGTACCCTCAGATGTCTGGAATCTCTGAACAAGCTCAGTCAGTACGTTCTGTGAGAGATAAATTTATTGGGGGAAAACAACATTTTGTACAGAACCTATTGTTGTTGGCAAATTAACAGATTGGGAAAGCTTTCTTTTAAACCAAGTGTCACAATAACAGATTTGGGTGTCTCCTGATCCACTCTCTGTCTTTATGTTGGATTCTCAAATGCTTTAATTAATACAACATTAATTACAAACTGTATTTTAATCTTGTTATTTCTGGACAAAGAGAATTGCAGAAATGTGATGTGTGTGATAAGAAGCAAAATGAAATCAATAACACTCTCAAGATAGAGAGTTGTATCAGTTGTAGAAAATCCCTCATTGACAGAACAAAATAGTGGCTGAGTGAGTTTCTTACAAGTCACAGAAGGAAGTTAAAACCATTCTAGAATGGTAGCTTTAAAACCATCCTTATATAAAAATGTTGTGACAAGCAAAACTGAGATTTCCTGACCAAGGAAATTGCGTGCAAACTTACAGACTATTGCACTTCAGTTTTTCCTGATTTTTATTTGTATTTGTACATCTTGTCTTTATAAGAAATCAGACACGACTCAAGATAAAATTAGAAAATATTTCTTGTTTCTAAAAAGAGGCTTTTTAGTACCCAAATCATAGCAAGTAGCATTTTGCATACTTAGGCATTTCTTTAAGTAGGTAGAATATAAATGAGGAGAAAAGTTAAATATCCTGCAATCAAAACATTACAATTATGCTAAAGTGGGGACTTTTTTGTCTTTTTTTAATTACAGAAAGTACTCCAAAGACTTCTGCCAGTTGCAGTCCTGCTCCTGAGTCTCCCATGAGTTCCAGTGAATCAGTGAAAAGCCTGACCGAGTTGGTACAGCAGCCCTGTCCTGCCATAGAGACGAGTAAGGATGGCAAATCCCAGGAATCCAGTGAGCCACCTGCATCTGAATCCCAATCCACGACCCCTCTGCCACTCTCAGGCCACTCTGCACTCAGCATCCAAGAATTGGTGGCCATGTCCCCTGAGCTGGACACCTATGGCATCACCAAGAGGGTCAAGGAAGTGCTCACGGACAACAATCTTGGTAAATCTCTTTATTCTCATTTCTTGACAAAATCGTGTATAAATGTTCATGTTTTTATTGTTAGCTACAGGAGATGTCTGTGAGAATGCCTGGGTTTGACCCTGGCCTAGTTAATTTGCTAAAAAGATACCTAATCTTTTTAAACTGGTGGAAAACTCCTTTCAGATTGTCACACACTCCTTCAAGTCCCATCACACCCTTGTTCTTCCTAAGCTCTGCTCCTGGCTCAGCAGCCAGGTACTGCTCCCACCTCCCAAAACAGAGTCCAGCAGGCTGTCAGGACCCCCAGAACCCCAGAGCCAGGGAGATCTCCCCTTGGGAAAGGCTGTTTCCCCCACACTTGCAAATTCCAGGCCCGTTTTGGGTGAGGCAGAGGAGGCCAGCATGGTTGGAGAGGAAGTTGCACCACAAGCAGGAGCACAGTGTCCCTGAGAGCTGGGAGGGAAAATCCAGACTCAGCTGAGGTTTAGATGAGCCTGAGATAAGTGTGCAGGGCCACTCAGTTCTTCTGCTTAGAGATGTGCAAAGCTGAGGCTGCTCTTGCCTACAGATGGGTTTTTGGCTGTTGCCTTCAGTGTCACGACTGTTTGGAATAGTCACAGAGAACAACCTGATGGGAGTATGGGAAGTCCACATTAATTCTGTCACTGTGCCTCTAAATCACTGGTTCTTCTTGTCTTTAACCCTTGCTTCCCCCACAAGGCTTTGGGAGATGTTTGTGGGATCCTTTGAGGGCTCTGGCAGGAGGGCAGTAAGGCTGTGCCAGTGTTACCTGCTCCTGCTTCTGGGTCTCAGCAAGGGATTCATCCCTCCTGCATCAGGTGTTCAGGGGATTGGCTGGTGCTCCCCAGAAGTACCAGCTTCTCTTCCTTCACTACAAATAGGACCAAAAGTTTAGATTTAGACTGATGATGTTACCTATGTGAGAGGAATTTTATCCATATCATCTGAACATGATGACTGTGAAAGTAAAAACTCCTCTCTTTTAGTATGTGAGGAAGCCTTTTTTCATCTAGACACAGAGTAACATGTTATTTCCTTAAAACATTTTTTAAGGGGAAAAAATACTGGGATGGGGGAGGTCCCAAGTTCTCATTTAACATAATTTGGGGGAAAAAAGGGAAATGGCCCTGATCACTGACAGACCCTGAGTGAGATTGTGTTCCACTGAGCCCAGCAGAGTTCCTTGCCCGTGCATTTGGCTGGGGCAGGTGGTGGTTGCTTGTTCAGTGGAGATAAGGTAGAGATAAAGCCCCAAATCATGGTAAGGGTTTGCAGATCCAAGCCCCTGGTTTTTGGGCAAAATGCTATTGAGTGCTGTACCTGCTCTGGTGTTCCAGAGAGGTTTGAAAAAAAAAAAAAAAAAAGTATTTTTGTTTACATTTGCTTTGATGCCATTTTTACTTAGTCTTTTTTATTTCCCATGATTTCTGTTTTCCTACAGTGTGGCTGACAAGCCTAAAAAGCAGCAGAAGAGCCAGGAAATGTGCCCCAAACTCTGCATTAGGTGTGGAACCAGTTTCAATGTCTCCTTTTGTGCCCTCAGTGTGCTAGTGCACCAGGTTTTCTGGTGCACAGGTTTCTCTGCTTTAGGCCACTGGGCCTTGTGAACCTGTCACAGGCAACTGGTGGTGGCTGAGGTGTCCCAGTGCCACCAGCCAGAGACCACAGTTGTACAGAACAATTCAGACTGAGCTGGGTGGGTCTCTCCTCCCCTCTCCAGTCGGGGGAATGGCTTCAAAGTGAAGTAGAGTCGGTTCAGGTGGGATGTTAGGAAGGAATTCTTCCCTGTGAGGGTGGGGAGGTCCCAGCACAGGGTGTCCAGAGAAGCTGCCCCATCCCTGGAAGTGTCCAAGGCCAGGTTGGACACAGCTTGGAGCAGCCTGGGACAGTGGAAGATGTTCCTTTCACTAGGAGCTGGAACTGGGTGATCTTTAAGGTCCCTTCCAACCCAAACCATTCTCTGAAGGTTCTGTGCCTTCAGCACACCGTGCTGGCAGCGTTCACACTGAGATGCTGCTGATGTTCTGAGCCCCAAAATCAGAGTTCCTCAGGGGTTCCCTGCTGGGCTGCACGGAGCTCACAGAGGGAAGCACAAGCACTCAGCTGTTTGAGGATAGGGAATATGGGGCATTTTGTAGGAAGGGTCAGGACTTTCCCTGAAAGATCCATTAGGATCCACATCAGTGGGAACAGGCATGAAAGGTGAGGAGGAGCTTTAGGAAACCTGTGCTTTAAAATATTGCTGTTATTTCTGGTGCTCTGGTGAAGATGGAGCGTGATACACCTGCTCCCTCCCAAGGATGATTTCTGACACCTTCCCCCTTAGCTTGGGAGCCTTTCAGGTGTTTTCTCCTGTCCTGCCATATCCTGACATGAAATAAACAACACAAACATCTTTAGCTTTGTTCTTAACACCTAGAGAACATGATGTTACCTCCTTCTACATTTGCATTTTTAATTTTTAGGCTGTAGTTTAAAGGTTCATTTCCTTCAGCAGCACTGCCAGCACTGCTCATTCCCAACCCTTTTGCAAATCCGTGCCCTGTTCATGTGGCAACACAATATCAGATTTTTAAAGTGGCTGTGTTATCTTGTTAGTAGCTGGCAGGTTTACAGGGAAATGGATGAGGCCTTGCTGATGTTTTTAAATACAAACAGGGAGCAGGTTACCCCAGCAGGACACGTGATAAAAACATAAAGATAAAATTGATAAAATTTCCCCTGAATTACCTCTTTTGTCTGATTTTCCTGATATCGAGGGTAGTGGAAAATCACTTATTACTCAGGAACTTGAATGAATTCTGAATGTAGGTTGCTGTTCAGTCTGTAGGAGCTGTTCTCAGGGCTAGTTTTAGAGCTTATTTAGAGCAGTGTCATGTTAATCCTGTTCTCCTTTCCCCTCTCTGCCTCTCATTATCTCAGCTGCTTCCTCTGCAAGCTCTGCAGACCCACCTGCCCCACACACCTGAGTGGGATGTTCTGCAGCTTCTGACTGGTCCCATATTCCCTCCTCTCCCCATACAGCAAAAAAACCCCACCAGGGCAAAAGTCTTGGTATGTTTTGAAAGAGAAAGAGGAGGGGAATCTTGGAGTTAAGTGCAGGGGGTGGGTCTGTAGTGCAGATATTTGCCATGAGCTGTCTGTATCAGGGTCAGAGAAGGCTGTGAAGGGCTCCTAAGAGCTGGTGATGCTTTTGCAGGCATGGGCTTGTCCTGCAGAGCTGTGGGGTCAGAGCCCCCACTCATGCCCATTGTCCCTTCGGGATCTGTTGGTTACCACTGGCTACAAGTGCTGGGATGTGAAGGGGGAATGTTCTGTTGTGTGTTAGTGAGGGCACTCAAAAGCTGCAGATCAGACACAGAACCCTGAGCCCCAGATTTGGGGGTTATGGAAAGATCTTTGGGTTACCTTGAAATTAAAAGGCAACAGCACTTGTATCTTAAATCCTGATGACTCAGATCACTCCAGGCTCTCCTGTAGCAGAAGCTGACATCAAGGCAGTGCAGCTGAGAAAAAACACTGAAGTGAAGGGGGTTAGAAAATCAGCTCTGTGGTTGGGTTTGAGGTGCACAGGCATTTCCCCCAGTCCTTGGTAAGTTAGGCTTTTTCCATATAAAATCATTGTCAGCAATCACATATGAACACTGTACACTGTAAAGCATTGGCAGATTTCACCCTGCCAGATGACAGCATTTTGTGAGAACTAAAATTAACTATTCTTAACTAGAAATACTGTAGAGATTGTAAAACAAAAATTGTATTGCAAATTCTGATTTTCTCTAGTGGGTAAGGCACAGTTAGATCCCCACAGATAGCACAGCACAGAAATTCCATACGTGTTTCTGTGAGGACATTGCTGAAGGGGCAGGTTGCGTTGCTCTTGGTTCACTGATTGCTGGAAATGTTTGGATTGCCCTGTTGGAACAAGGCTGTGGCACTGCCCTCCTGCATAAGAGCTAAGTAGCCTCACTGCTCTCACTAGTTGCCTGCTTAGCTAGAGGTTCAGTTTCTTTTTCCTCTCCTAATTTTATTTTTTGCACAGTTTCACTGTAAGGTCCCGCTCCCCAAACGTGTCGAGCTCCTCCCTTTATCCCAGGCAGATCCTCAGGATTAAACTAAAGCTCAATATTTATCCTTCTAGTGGGGGGGCAGAACATTTATTCTTCTAAATGTTTCTTCTGGGTTTTGAAGCAGTTCTGAAGTAAGAATAATTGAGGAATGATCTCGTGTTCTTTGCCGTGTCTGGGCTGAGCGAATTCACGCTCTTCTCAATTTCCCATTAGGTCAGCGTTTGTTCGGGGAGACAATCCTGGGGCTGACCCAAGGCTCTGTCTCAGACCTGCTGGCTCGCCCCAAGCCCTGGCACAAGCTGAGTCTGAAGGGAAGGGAGCCCTTTGTCCGCATGCAGCTGTGGCTCAACGATCCCAACAACGTGGAGAAGCTGATGGATATGAAGCGCATGGAGAAAAAAGGTAACGGGGAGCAGAGTGCTGACTCACGCCTTGCACTCCTCAGCCTGGCTTTTATAACCCTCCAGAAATAGTGGAGAGGCAGCATTGATCCACTGTTAGGAGGCTTATGCAAAAGGACTTCACCACAGCTTTTTTTGGAGCTTTTATTTGATGCTTGCTCAAGCAGATACATCTCAAAATAAAAGGAAAACAAACACATAACAAAAAGCCAACCCCAAACCCTAAATATTCACCAGCTGCTGGGGAATCATTGCTGTTTTCTCCTATAGATTAATTACTGAGACCCTGGTGTATCACTGATAACTTGCCTTACCAAATGAGAAATGTGGGTGGGAGCTGGGTTTGGGTTATTAGTTAATAGTGCTGCAGCTGGTCACAGATGTTGGGCTGGAAGAACTGAGCACTGGTTCCTGGGAAAGCTCCTTGCCAGTCCTGCACTGATGGTTGCTGGGAGGAGAGAAAAATACAGCCTTTATAAAAGGCTATTGCAGAATAATGATATTTGTAGCCTTTATAGAGAGGGGTAAGGTGATTGTGTTAATAAAATAAAATTTGTGTTATGCTCACATGAAACAGGGTCATGGGGATGGACACGTGAGTGTTCTGAGTTGTTACTGGGTATCTCAGTAGGAAGTACATCCTGCAAATTTATCCATTTTAAATTCATCACTAAAACCCAGTGGTTATTCAGAGCCCTGTTTTTAGTATGTTCATGTGATTTTACAAGAGAGACTCGTGGGCTGCCATTATCAGCAGTTAACTAATTAATGATATATACATCTCTGGAGCTACCCCTTAATGATATTAGCACAGACATCATTAATCGTGTACACTGAAAGCTCTGCTGTTGACTGATGTTCTGAAAGCATTTACACATTTGATCAAGAACTTGGTGATTATATTTAAAATTGCAGTGAGGGAGCTTCTGGGAAAATTATAGTCTTGCAGGCTTTTAAGAAGAAATTCAAGCCCTTGTCAGAGTAACCAGTATAAAATAAAGCAATGCAGTATCTCAGCACGTGTATGATCTTCCATGGGGAGTAAAATCCACTTGGGTTTCCCACTTACAATTGTAAACCAAAGGGAATCATGAGGAGTTTTGCTGTATTAGAAACATGGCAGGAATAAAATTGTCAACTAGCAGGATTTTTATAGCCTCACAGAGAATATTGCCCATAATGCAGCAAAATAAAATAAAAATAATTTAAAAGTAGTACTGACAATATCCTTTCAAAACGATTTTCTAAACTGGATTCTTATCAAATAGTGAGCAATACATATGGTCTGTAGATGGCATCTGAATAGAGATAAGGCCATAAATCATTGAGACTCTGCTCTGAGCTCCTGAACTGTGCAAGTGCTGTCCTCAGAGCAGTCCAAAGTGAATCCAACCCTGTATTTTCTGCAAAATCCTTTCATGCAGGTAAGAATCCTGTGATTTAACCTTTTAAATTGCTCCAGAGCCACATTAAGAATTTAACTTCCCCTTCAGCTAATGTCAGTTAAAGAACAATGCGACTGGGTCTGCTTCCACTGAAACATTATCAATTATTTCTCTGCCACATTTTATTAAGGGAGTAAATTAATAATTATGGTAAAGGTGAGCTGCATATCTCTTTTTTTTTTTTTTTTTTTTTTTCTGTTCCACCAGTCTGAAGTTTGTGCTATAAATGTCCTTTTTAAGAGGTTCTGAAAATTTGCAGTGTACACTTACCAACCTCTTTGGAGGGAGCTGGGGCTTCATGCTCACCAGGCTGAGACATTTGCCCACCTTTCCTGCCTTGGAACAGTTCATTCCTCCAATAACCTCTGGGGTATTGGGCTGCTGGAAGATCACACTCCTCACAGAACAGCACTGCTGTCAGAAGAAAATTGAATTCCCTTTATTTCCCCATTATTTCACTTTTTAATAATCTTGTTCAATACCACATAAGGTAAAAATTATATTAAAAGGGGCTCTGTTTTATCTCAGTGGGCAGCTGTGCAGTGGTGTCTGTGGCATCCATAGCTGGGCACAGGTGGATGCTGGGGGGGAAAGGTGTAACTCAGTCAGCCTCAGACCCAGATCCAGACCTTTGCCCAAATTACTGCTGGGTTTCCTTTTTTTTCATATGTCTCCTGAGAAATGGAGACTGGTCACAGACAAAAATCAAACTTCTCCAAAAATAAAGTGTGTTTGCAACTTGGATTCTAGTTTGAGCCTTGCTGTCACTGCAAATGTGCTGAATGATCTCCTTACGTTGTCTGCACGCAGCACATATGTTTAAAAATAAAAATAAAAATGGAAAAGCTTTTAAAAATGTCATCTAAGTTTCCAGACACCAGCATTAAAGCCTGAAGTCTGAGTCCTAGTTCTGCCTTTGGCCCAATGGAAATTTGTCCTGATAGTAGATTGTCCTCCAGAAAACAATTGCTCTGGCAGAACAGTGGGACATCCTCCTCTTTATTTGTATTTTAATGAAATATGTGCCTTTATATAATTTGTTCCATTAGCATGAGCAATCCATCTCAGCCAGTGCACCTTTTGTGATCCCAGTGTGAGGTCACAGGAGCAGAGGAAGGAATGACATTTTTCCCAAGCTCTCACAGCTCTGAATTATTCTTTGCTGCTTAAGACAGGAGCTGTGCCCTGCCAGAAATCCCATCCTTTGGAGAGCAGACAGAGGGAGATCCAGCCCATCCTGATCCCTGTGTCTCGTGCTGACTCAGTCACCTGACCAAATTCCAGAAATTCCAGTTAGAGGTGGTCTGAGCCCCTGTCACCTCTCCCATGCCAGGTTCTGTTTTGTCTCGTGGCCTCCTTGAAGCTGCTGCCCATTGCTGAGGTGATGGATGTTGTCCTCCAGCCTCCTGGTTCTGCTGTGCAAGGAAACAAGGGAGCTTTGGCTGTAGTTTGCAGGTCAATGCAGTAGGAAATAACACCCAGGAAGGAGTTTTGAGATTAAACACCTTACAGAAATATGAGATTATCTTGCTGGAATTATTAATTCCATGGTTGAGGGTTGTAACAGTTCCTTGAAGACCGCAAAAGTAACACCAATGGGTCACCTTGAAATAATGTCGATTTTTTTGCAGTTGTACATCTGGTTGGAACAACTTAAATAGGTGGGTTTTTAAAGGAGATTTATTTATAACGCCAATGGGTCACCTTGAAATAATGCAGATTTTTTGCAGTTTTACATCTGGTTGGAACAACTTAAATAGGTGGGTTTTTAAAGGAGATTTATTTAAAAAAAAACACTTTGTTTTTTATGGTTATTTCAAACGTGTGCAGGACTGTATCACGTCAGAGTGATGGATCACGAGCAACTCACGTTGTGTTCCATATCAGTGATCTTACACAGTAGGCAATCCTCAGGTAATCTGTCATATTCAGGAAAAACAAAATGTGGGCCATGCAGATACCCCCAAAGGTTACAGAGTGTGTTCAGAATTCACTTCCCTGGTAGTAAAGCCACAGTGCCAAAGGTCCCACTGGAGGCACCATGGAGAGGGCAGGGTGCTGGAGCCAGAAAACCCAGCCAGTCCTGGAGGGAGCCCTGCCAGGAGGCATTGGCTGGGGTTTGAACACTGCAATTTATTTGATTGCACTGATTTCTTATTCACTGTGCAGCCTCAGCCTGAAGGCAGAGCTGTGGGGAGAGAAAAATTGAATTTTTGAAGAATTTGGTTGCTGACCAGTGTGACTGGCCCCACAGTGTCCCTGGCTCCAACCAGAGCTCCTGGCTCCTGAAGATTTAATGCCTCCTGGATTGATGTCAGGCTGGTGTAATCTGGAACTTAATACCTGAGGTTATCAAATTTTAGCTCTTGAATACGTAAACCCTTAAATATCTAGAAGGTATTTAACAGGCTGTTAAATATTTTATTGACAAGATTCATCTGTATTTGCTGTTTTCAGCCCCCTCATTAGCAATGCTTGTGCATGATACTGCCAGGTGCAGTAAATCCCACCTCTCCATGCCCAGTGTAAATCAATCAAGTCAGTGACAGTCTTTGCTAGGACTCCTTCCTTGTGGAATTTGCCAGGATAATTCACTCCCAGTCAGGGAGGAAGGTCAGTGACAGAATCACAGGCTCCTGCCATCAGCCTCACCGAGCCCATCAGAGCAGGGAGAGCTTTCTTAAAAGTGTCTGTGTTTTGGAAGGAGCTTTGTGTAGGGGAGGAGGGTGCTGGGGGCTGGTTTTCTTTCATAACCTGTCACTGCCACAGCAGAGAGCTGTAAGGAAAGGCAGCAAACGCCTGATGGTTGTTCAGCCCTTCCCTGGCATCTCTGGGCTCCAGGCGCCATCGTGTGTTGGAGATGGCTTGGGAAGGCTGGGAATGCTGCAGCTCCACTTCCACAGTCGTGTTTTCCTTCATGTCAGAGACACCTCCGTGTACACCTGAAGTGTTTTAACCACCAAACCCCTTTCAGTCAAAAGAAAGCACAGCTGTCCCAGTCGGGGCCTTACGTGGGAGTTCACTCCTCTTGAAGGAGTGAATCTGAAATGAGTCGTGTGAACTGAACCCTGTCATTCCTGTCCCACGTTCATTGTAAAGGCAGAAAACTCTGGCAGGTTTCCAGCTGTCTTACCCTCTTTTCTTCTCTTTCTGCCTCTTGCATCCTCCCCTCATTTGGTCTCTGGTGGCACCTCATCCTTCCCATCCCCTCCCAGCAACCCATCCCTGCATCCCCACCTGCCGTCTCCATGTTCATCCCTCAGCTTTCCCCATCTTTCCTTCTCACAGCAGCAAGCCTATACCCAAGTTAAAAAGACCCTGATAGATAAGAATCCATTGATTCTGCATTTGTATTCATCCTGGGCTGATCCACTGTGCTTCTCTTTCAGCCTACATGAAACGGCGGCACAGCTCCGTCAGCGACAGCCAGTCCTGCGAGTCCTCGTCCGCTGGCATCGACTACAGCCAGGGCGCCAGCCCCCAGCCCCAGCACCAGCTCAAGAAGCCCCGGGTGGTGCTGGCACCAGAGGAGAAAGAAGCTCTCAAACGAGCCTACCAGCAAAAGCCATACCCATCACCAAAAACCATTGAGGAACTCGCCACGCAGCTCAACTTGAAAACCAGCACCGTGATCAACTGGTTCCACAATTACAGGTGTGTGACCTCCCGGAGCCCTGCTCCTGAGGGATGGCTTGGCTTGGCTTTGGCAGGTGCTGCTCTGCCTCAGCGGAATGTGTCGGGTGGTTGTGCAAAACAAGCAGCTTGGACAGCAGGGAGGTTCTCACTAACACAGTGCTAATGCTCCAGACTAATTTTAAGTCATCCCTGAGGAGCAGCAGTACTCACATATTGATGTGAGTAGTGCTTTTAAACAGAAAGTCTGGCTTTCGGGGTGGGCGTGGATGTAGAGATGTCCACTGATGAATATTTATGAAGCCACTGCAGCAGGCCAGGCTGTTCTGTCTGACTCACATGTGCACACGCACAGACACGTGTTGGGTGCGTGGTGGGTGTTGTCCTTGGGTCACTGGGTGGGGGGTACTTGGAAATGTCCTTTATTGGATGTCATCAGAATTGCCCTGCTTTCATTGTGTCATTTTTCTGCATCAGAAGAAAAAAAAATTATTTTCTTTTAGGTCTTGAGTCACCGAGCTCTGAAAATAGGCACAGTGTTTGTGCTGTGCTCTGGGAAGCTTCATGGAGTCCTGAAGGACAGAGAACCAATAAGCCTGAAGTCAGATGTGGCCACAGAGAGGGATTTCTTACAAGGGCCTGGCGTGCCAAAACAAGGGGAAATGGCTTTAAACAGCCAGAGAACAGGGACAGATGGGATATTGGGAAGGAACTGTTCCCTGGGAGGGTGGGCAGGCCCTGGCACAGGGTGCCCAGAGCAGCTGTGGCTGCCCCTGCATCCCTGGCAGTGCCCAAGGCCAGGTTGAACAGGGCTTGGAGCAGCCTGGGACAGTGGAAGGTGTCCCTGCCTGTGGCAGGGGGTGGAAGAAGGTGAGCTTTTAGGTCCCTTCCAACCCAAGCCATTCCAAAATTCTATGATTTATTTCATTGGTATGATTAAATCATTGAGTCCCACTGAAATAAAATATTGGTCTGTTCAGTTCCTCTCTCATTTGGGGAGGAAACTTCTTCACATTTGAGCCCCTGAAGCAGGTTTTGGCCTAGAGACAGCGATAAAAAGAGCCAAGGCTGGAATAGCACATAAGAATTAGAAGGATTTGAATAAACATATTATCAACTGTGCTTGGGATTGGAAGTCCTAATTAATGCAGCAGACTTTTCTCCAAGAAATTTGTGCTAATGAATATTGAACAGGTACTGTTAAGCTACCAGATTTAATACTATTCTGCTCCTTCACTCGGAGCCAGTAATGTTCCTAATTAGTCCAGATTGCTAAACTTGTTTGTTTTTAAAAACTGCTAACATTTAAAGGGTAGTTTTTTACTTTAGCCCTTCTCAGCTTTTACCAGGGAAGTTGCCGAAGCAAAAGCAGTAGAGTTTAATGAGCTATCTCAGAAATATTATGCACAATAGTTAAATAATGTTTATAGTAAACAATACAAAATTTTAAAAAATCAAGTAATCATATTGACACTGAATTTTGCTGCCTTGAATTCAGTACAGATGCAGCCTCTTTTCACCGCTCAGAGTTCTCCAAATGCAGGCCTCTTCCAATTCCCACTTGCAGGCAATTATACACAAGTTGGAGGGATGCCTATGAAAATATGTTCCCTTCGGCCTGACAGCAAAATGTGCTGTTCTCACTTGGGCAGACGAGCGGGAGCGCTGGTGGCAGGTGTCACCTCCCTCGTCACCACGAGATCCATCCCTGCCTGGGCGTGTGATCCAGCCCCACCTTGCCGGGGAGGAGGTGCTGACAGCTGGACACAAAATCAAACCCTGCAAACGGGGGGCTGGGGGCAGCACAAGGCTGAGCTTTGAGTGATCTGGGCCTGCTCCCAGATGTGCTGCTGGGACTCCAGGGCTTTCAAAAGCTGTTTCAAGCCTGTTTGGAGCCCTGTGTGCTCTGAGCACTGAAAAATCAAAACACAAACCTATTTTTTGTTCCCCTTGATAATAACTTTCTTAGCTGTCTTGCATGATTTTCTCTTAAATCATGTGTAGGGTGTTGCAGAAAAGGGACAGGTTCCATGTTCTGTGAGGGGAGCAGGGTTTGACTGTTCTGCAGCTTGTATAAGAAATGGGTGGTCTTTCTTTCAGTCTTCTCTAGGCCACACTTAACTTTATTTATCTCTTTCATATTCTCCCTAAGCCATTTCCTTTCCAAACTGAAGAGTTTTTTATACAGAAGCAGTTCCACATCTCTGACCATCTGCTTGTGCTTTAATACTAATTTTTATTAGTAGCTTTAGATAAGGGAGGGCACAGATTTGGACAAGTTTATCTTGCTGTCTATTGGGAATCCTGCTGCAGTGATGCTTTTCCTTTCGGATTCAGCCCAAATCTCCCATTCCAAACGTGGTTGCTACAGCAGGATCTACCTTTATATCCACCAGATGGAAAGTCAGCATTAGCATTTATTTCCTGCAGCAAAAAGAAACGCTGAAAAAATATCCTCAGCAGGCAAAGAAATAATTCACTTCAGAATATAAATAGGTATAAAGGATTTTGGCATGTCTGCAAACTTCTCCAAGTCTATAGCTTTGCATTCATACCAGTCACAGAGCTCTCAGAATATCCAATAAATATCCCTTGCTTTGCACTAGTGAAGCACGTACAGAACACATCAGAGTTTGAGGCTCTGATGTCTTAAGAAGGGTAGAAAAAAGCAGGAGGGAGGAATTTCTATCCCACTTCACCTGTGGATACTGGCACATAAACTCAGTATGCCACAGAAATTATACTACTGACGCATCAGGAATGAAACCAGACTTTCTAGAATGGTACTCCAGCACTCTTGGACCCTAAATTCTGAGTGTATTTTTCAATGCACTTCAAATTGTGTTGGTTTTGATGTTGTGTGAAGGTTTGTCTGGGGAGTTGCAGCAGACACCCAGGAGATCTCTGATGTTTTGCGTTCCACTGGTGAAATCCAGCAGGGTGTGTGGATGTCAAGGCCAACACCTTCCCCAAGAAGAATGCTCTCTGGAATCCTCTAGCTGCTGTCACCAGGTCTTCTTTACCATAAGAATTTAATTACTATGTTAATCAGGAGCCAGTCCAGATTCCAGCAGCAGTATCTTGGGTGTGAATTCCAGGGATTTCCACAGACATGGGTTTGATGTTTGTAGGGCTGTGGTCAGATTCTCAGTGAGGTTCAGTACATGCTGGAGCTGAGGTATTTTAAATGCCATGCAGGCACAGAGCTCTTACCAGCCTCCTCTCCTGACTTGGGGAATGCTACAGAAACACCATGTTCTGGATCAATGTCCATACAGGGAGATTTTAAGCATAAATAGAGCCTGATAATCGATGTTGCAGGATGCGTGCAGTTAATGGTAATAGAAAATAAATGTTAGCACCTGTGGGCTTCTGTTAGGTGAGTAATATTCTCCTAGGGAAAATTACAGACCCCCTAAATCCTTCAAAAGTGTGAAGTCAGCGAGTACTGCTGAAATACTCTGTTGCATTTCAAGTAAGTCAATAAGATCAATAGCTTCAAAAGCAGTATTCAGGTGGTGTTCTCCATTTAGCTGAATGTGTTTCCATTGTGTGCTGTCTTCCACAGCACAGTTAAGGGAAAACAGAAAATCCTTACAGCCATCAGTGCTGGGACAACGTGTCACTTGTCGTTTGCAGACCCCTTGGCAGTTCCCTGTGGCTGAAACCAAGAGTTTTTTATCTTCACTCTGAAAAATAGTAAGCTCTGCTAAACTCTCCCCAAGGCTGTGGTCCCATCCCTGACCATGGATCATTTGGGCTCCCTCTTGGTTATAAATTAGGACTTAAAGGTGTTCATCACTTCTCCCATGGATGCAGCAGGACAGAGAAAGGGTTAGCCCAGAGCCTAAGGTATTTCCATAAACCTTTCTGTACTTGTGAGGATTTTGGGAGCTCCTAATCAGAGAAGGAAGAGGGAGGAAGGCCTGACTTAAATGGCAGAAGTGGTGTGTTTGGGGTGTCCTTGCACACCAGGCAATTCTACCCACACATGGAGTGCAGTCATTCCTATGAAAGGCACTGCTTGGCTTGTCACTATTCATGTTTTGAATTTGATTTTTTAAATAAAAAATGAGGCAAAAGTCAGACTAGCTCATAGACTGGCAGCTTGTCACAGGCTGGCTTTCTCACAGTGCTTTCAACACAACAGTCTTGGTTTCATCTTCATTTCTCCTCACTGTCCAGGAGAACGTGGGGCTTGTCCAGCTTTTTCCTGGTTTATTTTTTGTTTAGGCAGACTGGCTTATTTCTAGTAGAAAACTGAATTGTTTTGTGTTTATAATCCACTTCATTCTGGATCTCCTAAAACTGTATTCATATTTTTTATTAAAAATACTAACTTCTCACTAGGGAAGTGGTGGAGTCACCACCCCTGGAAGTGTTCAAACAACGGGTCAGTGCAGCACTTGGCAGTAGGGTTTAGTGGTACGTGGCTGGAAATTGGACTCAATGGTCTCGGAAGTCTTTTCCAGCCTTAATGATTCCACAAAAGGGCATCTTTAGTGGCATGGGAAGGACTTTTTTAGTGGAGGTGGGCATCTCCTTGCTGCCGTGGCAGACTCAAAGAGTTCACAGAATGACTGGGTTGGAAGAGACCTTCAAGATCATCGAGTCCAACCCAGCCCCAACACCTCAACTCAACCCTGGCACCCAGTGCCACATCCAGGCTTTGTTAAACACACATGCCTCCTCCGAGCTCACACCCCTCTCCGCTCTCTCCTAGGTCCCGCATCCGCCGGGAGCTGTTCATCGAGGAGATCCAAGCCGGGAGCCAGAGCCAGGCCGGGTCGAGTGACTCCCCTTCGGCCAGAAGCAGCAGGGCGGCCCACAGCTCCGAGGGGGACAGCTGCGACGGCGTGGACGCGGAGGGCCCTCCCGACGGGAAGCCGAGCGGCCCGGAGGCGGACGAGTTCAGCAATGCGGCCGCCAAGTCTCAGGGAGGGCCCACCGAGCCGGCTTTCGAGGCGGGGGAAGAGGCACTGCGAGGCGCCAGGCCTTCGGAGAGAGCGGAGCCCGAGAGCCTGGAGGACACCGACGACGAGGGCCGGCTCAGAGCGCCGCGCCAGAGCTCCCCGCCGGCACCGCAGCGCCCGGGAGACGCTCTGGAGACACTGCCAAACTCTGCCACGGAAGGGGATGCCTCTACCTCAGCTGCCTCCACCTCAGTCCTTACGGGGGAGAGCTCCTACAAGTCAAAAGAAAGTTCAGAGAAAATCTCCAGTGTGCCAAGTACGAGCTCGACGCCGGCCTCGGGCTCGCAGAAAGCCAACTCTCTGCAGAGCTTGTTCGGCTTCTCGGAGGCGGCGAGCTCCAGGAACACGCGAGACAGCTCCCTGAGGAAAAAGAAAGCGGCCAACTTGAACAACATCATCCACCGCTTGGAGAAGGCCGCGAGTCGGGAAGAGGCCGTGGAGTGGGAGTTTTGAGATTAAACTGGCCCAACTCGGGAGAGCTGGGAAGTCAAACTGGACCTCTACTGGTTTTATTGTGTTCGCACTTAACCGCCCTGCGGGCCACAGGGCAAAAACGCCATAGGCCAAGGTGCATATAGAAATCAAAAAAAAAAAAAAAAAAAAAAAAAGGAGCGTTAAGCCCAATTTATGTTTGTGTTTTCGAGGAAGAAAACTGAAATGTGTAGTCAAGCTTTTTTGTACCCTGAAGTGTTTTTATTATTGCCCTAAGTGATTTCCACAATTTCTGGAATAACTCATACAGCTTTGCCTTGTGCCCTCCTCTTTGGTGTGGGGCTTTAAAAAAATGAAAAACAGGAAAAAAAAAAAAAACTAAAAAAAAAAATCTTAAAAAAAAATCAAACCCACATATTAAAAGGGGGCTTTTTATCTGCCATCTAATGGCTACAGAGCGATAATACACTATTATCTTCTTAAACCAGGAAAAAAGGGGAGATTTTTCAAGAAAAAGAAAAAAAAAGAAAGTTTTTTGTAGCTGTTCAGTTGCCACTAAGAGATTGCACAGTCAACCGACTCTAAACACACTAGTTTGGATTCCTACATATTTTCAAGAAAAGAAAAGAATCTTGTTGTTTGAAACTTTGAATTAAAAAAAAACACATTTACTCCACATATTTTTTAACAAAACAAAAAAAAAGTCACATCAGGAAAATATCTTAATTTGTGGTAGCTGACTTAGTGTTTTCTTGTAAGTGAAATAGAATATTGACACGTAGTGCACATTGTTTCATAGCTTTAACTGATTCTGGTCTTTTGCAGCCCAGAATTTGTTTAATACACTCCATTTTAGGCCAAATCAGGACAAAAAAAAAAAATCTGAATCTAGGTATTTTATAATCTGCTTTTTAACCTCTAACCACAGAGCACGCTGATCAGACCTCATATCTGGGAGGTTTAGGAGACAACTTAGAAGCAGCATGTACTTGATCATTTCACTTGGTTCGTAGTGTACAGGATTTCCTTTCAGCAAAGACAGATCGCTCCAAAAACGTTGGCCAGTAACATTTCAGCCTGCTACTTGGGGGCCTAGCCCGTATCCCGAACATTCAGCTTACCTGGATCCTTGGGAACGCAGTTCACGTGTCCGACTGCTGTCACACACCACTAAGAGGGACGGGAGCTGCCGCAGACCCAGCCCTTTTCCTGCTGTTGGTGGCCATTTACTGACTCTCTTCCCACCACGAGCACTGATTTTAAATACGTTTTAGTTGTGGGAAGCTCCTTTTTTGCGTGGATAAAGAGTACGTGGCAATGCCCAGACGGGCTCTCACCGGGGTGGAAGCAGCCCAAGCTCGAAACCAAAACCTTCGTGCTCTCGAGTCCCAGTCCGGCCCGTTCTGCCCTGCAGACATACAGCCTTTTCCCATTATTTTATGCACAGGTTAGGGCTGATCAAAGTACAAATCCAATTCTAACTTGTCTCTAACTCCTCCTGTTGTCTATATGTATATGCGTGAGCATAGAGGTGTGTGGAAGGATGTGTGTGCGTGGGTGTGTGCGTGCAATTTTATACGTCTGTGTATTTTCTTACGTACTTGTGCACACATAGAGTGCATTACTGCCACCTTTTTTCAATAAGCTGTTTTATCAGTTATGGCTTCTACAAGTTTGCTAATTTAGACTCCTTTATTGCCATATCTTTAAAACTAACAATAGATGATTTCGGAATATATATATATATATAAATATATATATATATAATTTTTTTTTGCTTATTTATAGGTGCTGTATTTTATTATCTGATTGTTAGGAAGGGATGAAAGGGGGCAAATATTCTTTAGAGGGATAGACTGCCGGCAGTATTGGGTATAATTTACAAGATGTAGTTGTCATACTGTATATTATTGATTGAAGACTTTTTTGACCGTATTGTGTATCATTGAACTTTTGTCTTAGGTCAGCATCTTTTTGATGACACTTTAATGGTGCATTCATTACTTCTTAAGTTTAATTAATATTACTTTTCTGATTTTGGGGGAGGGAGGGATGGGGGAGAGGAGTTCCGACTTTAAAGGTATGTTCCCAATATTACACCTCAGTGTGCTTGTATTAATTCATTAGTAGGATTTTTGACTGTAAGATGTGAAACCACATTTCTTGCATGATGTTTTAGAACTTATGTATTTCATTTACAGTCTCTTAACATGCGACAGCAGCACTTAGTGCAAGTTTTCACAAATTTAAGAATCAGTACACTAAAATCCATCCTTCTCATGACTAAGGAAAGAAGGCTCTAGGAGGCTGAAAGGCAGGGATTTATGTCCAGTTTTCACTGCTAGCTGTTTCAGGATTCCTCCGTGGGTAACTGGGGACTCGTGGTGCGAAACTAAAGCTGAGGAAGGGAGAGAGAGCAGCTGCCCCTTTCTGTGACGAGCTGAGGGACAATGGCAGTGACAGACACCAGGGCGTGGCAGCGCGTGCTGGGAGCGCTCCTGGTGGGAGCGTGGCCAGTGCCTGGGAACGGGGTGAAGCCAAGGGTGACCTCTCTGTACCTGTCCAGTGTCCTGCTCTGACTTCCAAAGCACAGCTCCGTGGATGAGCGCGTCCTGGTAGGAGTTCACGTACCTTAGTGCAAGTCACAACGAGCTGCGTCTCCAGCCGAGAGCAAAACTTCTGCCCAGAGGACGCAGATATTTTCTTAGGTTCTTTAATTGTTTTTAATTTTTTTTTTTTCTTCATTGTTGTTTGGTTCAGGTTGGGTTTTTTAATTAATTCTAGGCAATACACTTGCCAGTCTGTTCCTACTGTCCTTGTCTGCTGATTTGAGACCCAGGTGCTGGATGCAGTCAAGTGGTTCCTCTCGGCTTTCTCCATAGCGAGGGGTTTTTTTTCTGTTTGATGATTTTATTTTGTTTTTTAAGTTAATATTCCCCAAACTGTTCTTGTGCCTGTGTCTATCTGATTGCATTCCATGATGCTTACTGAGAGCTCTGGCTGCACTGTACGACAGCAGAACTGTATTCACAGGTCGCACGCAAATGCAGCACTTAAGGTCAATCTCTCTTCTTAATAAGCAATACGTAAGTGCCTTGAAACATATCTTCTTTTTTTTTTTCTTTTTTCTTTTTCCTGTTTATTTTTGGTTTGCTTTTCAGGTTTCCACTAGTTCTTTAGGGTTCTTTAGTGTCCGCCCAGTTTTTAATGCTGTAATGATTTTTAAAAAGCATATCTGTAGCTTGCCCTAGAGGAAATCTTTCTTTCATAACACTAACTGTTAATTCTAAGCTCCATTATTCCATTTGAGTCATGTAATTTTGCTGGTTAAAGACAGCGTTCAGAAGTCAGAAGTCACTCCATCCTGCCAAGCGTTATCATTGGGATCTATTATAAAATTAATCAAATAAAATGCTGTCAGTATTTCCTATATTTTTGGCACTTTATTAATGGCTTAGCTCCTTTTGCTGTTTCATATTTAATGATCTGTGTTGAATGTGGATTAGCCTGCTGAGATGCTGTTGGGGTGATCTCTGCCCTGAGTCCCTCTGGGTTCCTTGGTGACCCCCTGGTTGGAGGGCAGGGCCCGAGGAGCACCCCCAGACCTGGAGCTCAGAGATGCTCCTGGGCTTTGTCCCGGTGTTTAGCCAAGGTCACAGCTGCTTTTCTGTTCCAGTGGAAAGTAGGATGGATTAGTTTGAACTACTGCTGATGTTCTCGGGTTGGACATGAGTTACCTGCTGGTTTTTCTGGCCAAGGCCCCCCAGTTTAGAGGCTGAACTTATACTGCAGGGTGTGAGAGATAGTTGGGATCAATTTGGAACTCACCCTTGGGAGGAAAATGTGCTTTGGAATAACTTTTTTTTTTTTTTTTTTTTTACTTAATTCAAAGGATAAAAAATTGAAGGAGAAGAAATGCCAAAGAGCAGCACAGTGGCTGTCATCCCTTGGGTGCTGATTCCAGGGGAAGGGAATGTGTGAAAGGTGTGACGTGGGGCTCATCTCACAGGGCAGCAGAGCTCTCGTTGCTGACATTTCTTTTCCTGATGGATAAAAGCACAGGCAGTTTTCAGGAAATCCGTCATGCCAGATTCTGTTTTTCCTGAGGTTCTTTAAAAGCATTTTATTTTCTCTCTCTGTTTCCAGTTCCATGCTCTTACCAATGCTGTGCATGAAGGGCCAGGGCTGTTTTAATAGAAATACGTTTATATTGCAGTTAAATTGTTGATTTTTCTCTCTGGATGATTAGGGAAGGAAAAAAGTGCAGTGCTTTGTTTGCTAAAAGCCAGGAAAGACTATCCCCTGGCAGAAGGGTCATGCAGTGGAATTGTCAATACACTTCCATTTTTCAGGATACAGATTTCAGACAAGAGCATTGTAGATGTTTATTGGCAGAAATGCACTTAATTACAGTTGCTTTTGATGCCATAAAATTTGACCATTTTATTTATTCATCAGTGAAATGCCTATGAATAGAGCCACCCTTTAAAGGAACCCATATCAGTGCACTCTGCCCATATCATGAATTGGTGTGTCCTTTAGTAATAAACTCCTTGCTGTAATAGGAAAGATCTATATTACAGTTAAAAAGAAAAAAGTATGTGCCTTTCTCATTAGCTGAAAGATCTCTGCATTATTTTTATGTAACTTGTTGGTATGGGATTGGTGTAGAGCAGGGGGACCATGAACACCACAGAATTCTATGCAATATTTTCCAATCCAATTACTTAAAAGTCCCTATTTTTCAATCCTTTAACAGGAGAAATAGTAAGTCAGAGAAGTGCATCATGCTGGTGGTAATTCAAACTGCAAAGCTGATAAATTGACATAAAACAGGATTGAGGGAAATGTGACAAATTAATGTGACGAAATAATGGAAAATGCTAGCAGTGGTTGCAGTCCCTACAAGCACAGCTGCTGTCAGAAGTCTGTAATCTTCCATTTTAAAATTAATAATTTCCAGTATTCTTAAAGCTTTTATGAATAATAATGCTCCTGGCAAAAACAGAGCAGGTTAGAAATAAGAAAAAAAAAATCACATTTTGACCATATAGAAATTATGAGAATACACAAAAAAAAAAAAGTAATTGGGTTTGGACACTTTGCACTTGCAAGAAAAAAAAATCACATTTTGGCCATATAGAAATTATGAGAATACACACAAAAAAAAAAAAAAAAAAGTAATTGGGTTTGGACACTTTGCACTTGGATCCAAAATGTTTTATTTCAGTTGAAATGCCGCAGCAGTCTGTGCCTTTCGCAGGGTTGTGAGAGATCAGTAGCTTGGCAATTTGTTGCAGACTGCAAGTGGAGTGTTGACATTTTTAACCTGCACATGGAGGGCACTATTTTTGCTCCATTTGTGTCTCTTCCTACAAAGGAGTTCCTGGAATTCTCTGATTTCCTTTTTATCCTGTGGATGTTCTCTGTCTTCAGCCACGAGTGTGGCCGAGCTCCTCTTGGGGACTCAGAAACAAGAGGAGAAGGAGGAAGTTGGTTCTTAGGTGAGGACTGGATTTAACATTCCCTGAAACCAAGTCAAGGCTTTCCTGTGAGTGTGTGGCAGTTTTGGCCCTGGTGTGACCAGCTGGTTGTAGCCTTTTATCCCTAAATTTAACTCCCATGGATAAAACATTGGCAAAGTAGGACTGGGTTGATTCCTGTGTTGTTCTGCCTTCCCCTTTCTGCTCTGTGAACATCAACATTTTCTTTGTGTTGCATATACAATCAACTTTTCTGAGAATTTAAAAATTCTATACAAAGGAAAGATTTCCCCCCACCACACCCCCCAGCAGTTTAAAGTCTGGTTTTAAATAGCAAGGAGAATCACTGGCATGGGAAGTACAAGATCTGAATTTCTTTTCTGATGTAACCTTTGTAGTTCAAAAGGGGTGTAGCAGTCCCTGTCTCCTTCACATATATTTGAGCTCTAAAATGTAGAAATATGATTTCACCAATTTCTTCTTTCCTCCCCACCTCTTTTCTAGGATATATTGACTATGCCATATATAAAGTATAGTTAATAATGGACTTTATAGCAAGAAAAGCTCTTTAAACCATGCCTAGGGACGGATTTGTCCTACATGACCAGGTCATGGGCTATACCCTACCCTATTAATATGCAAGGATAAAATGGTTTTATGCTCTGAACGTGAAATTTATCCTTTTGGAGAAGATTAGCGTTAGGCCTGTGCACTTAAGTTTTCAGAAAGCCTTAAAAACAGGTGTGTAAGTGGTGCCATCTCTGTCCTCAGGGATGATTTCCCCCCAGCCAAGTGGTACTGTGGCATATTTAATAGCAGTTATTAGTTATAAGGTCATTTTCCAGTTGAAGAAAGTCATTCAATGAACTTTATTAGTGAGCCCCTGGCCAGCATCCCCTGGTACAATCCAGGACCTGCTTTTCCCAAGACCTGGGCATCCATCTCCATCCCAAAATCCTTGGCTCTGTGTGAAATCTGTGTTTCTGCAACTCTTGTGAATGGAAAAAAACCCTGATGGGATTCCTGGGCTTGATTGTCATTGCTTTTCACAAAATCTGGCACTAAAGTGCATTAAAAGGAAAAGCCTCCTTTTAAAAAAACTAGTAAGATTATTGTATTTTGTCCTTGTCCAGCTCTTCTGTAAAGGTCAATTCTGGCAGTTCCAAGCTTGCTTTACTCACAGTGGTGTTGGGAGATTTTAGCCACAGTTCTGTAGATTTCCTGTTATTAAATCTGTTGGTTTCATCACATCAGTTCAGTTTCTTTGGACTTTGAACCAGCTGAGTGCAGAGAGCAGCTGAATCCTTTACCATAACAAAACAGTGCAGGATCAGTGCAGCAAAGTGAATACCCCTGTGATGTCGTGTCTTTGGCTTTCTGTTTGAATTCCAGAGATATTTGTAATACATGGTACAATCCTCATCCAAAGTTCTTTGGAAATGGAGAATCATGCCCGGAATTTCCTGCAGTTGTGGTGCCACACCTGATTTTTGCACAGTTCCTGTGTAATTCCTGGTAGTGTCACAACAGCACAGCCTCTCTCCTGGCAGCAAGAAGAAGAGTTGTGTTCTCTTCTGTCCATGTGGGTAATTAATATGCATTTTTGGGAGTCGTGAAATCTATCTCTGTGCATCATTCCAGGATGGAAAAGCCCCTCTGTGTATTTAGCATTTGTGTCTTTGGTCTTAATGGTGCAGCAGAATTGCTGCAGCCAAATTTGTGAAATCATTTGGGATGTAGGTGAGCGAGGACTTAAAAGCAGTATGTATTTTAATGGGCAGAGGATGCCATTCCCCACTTGTCAGATCCATTCCCTGCTGTAAAGAGGGGATTAGCCACTGGAGAGGCCAGGCTGCTGGAGATGCATGGCTTTAGCTAATGAGGACAGGGAAGATCATGCTCAGAATACATAAAAATGATCCCAAGGGTCTGAGATGTGCAAGAGCCAAGGAATTTGAAAGGAGGGGTCAAACCTTGTCTGTAGGTTTGGCTTCCTGCAGGAAGTTCATATCCCAGATATTTGCACACGTGTCGTGCTCTCTCCTTTGTCAATGTACAGTGGACAGTAAAGACATATTTAAAACAATCACAAAACCAGCTGATGAAGTAAATTCAAGCCAAGTATGGAATTAAAGCTAGCAGCTCAGCCTTGCTCTCCCTTAGCTGAAAATTCAAGTATTTGTAGGAATGAGGTAGAAATTTTCTGATAGGCAGCTCCTCTTGAAAGGCAAGTGTCTGTGCTTTCAAGAGAATAAATAAAACTTGGCACTTGACTTGCTCTGAAGTACAATCTTGTCTCCAAGTAACTAGGAAAAATATTTTTGCAATCAGTCTTTCAATCAGACTTCCCTGGCTTTTATTAGCTTGTGTTGGACCTTTGTGCTGTTTTGATGTGTTATTTATGTGTGGGTAAGTTATTACTAGCTTTAAAAGTGTTTCCAAAGTACCTGGTTACCTCTGGCTGCTGGTACAGGTGATGCAGGGAGTACTTGAGCATCTGGTTTGGAAAGGAGGAGCCTGGGGAATAAGCAAGGTCACATCTGTATTGTACTTTTCCTTTTCCTTGATCAGGGCTTCCATTTCCTTCTCACCTTCTCTAGAGAGATGGAGTTCATGGGTCATTCCTTTTTTTCTGTGGGAGAAAGATTTTAGTCGAGCTTGAAATGATTTTATTCTCACTCCACAGGCATATCATCAAAATCCTGTATGTTGCCACATTTCCCGTTAAGTCTTTAGGTTTTGCTTCCTGAAATTGACTCTTTCTCTACTTGGAAAGCTATGTGCCTTATTTCCTAATCTCTCTGTGGAGAATAATCTAAAGCACAGTGATCTGGCTTGCAGCATTCCCAGACGCTTTTCATTTTTTTGGAGGGGGAGCAAACACTGATGGAGCATCGCAGTGTCCCAGCACTGGCAGGTGCCTGGCACATCCAGCCCTGGGTGAGGAGTCTTTGTGCAATAGAAACTCTGGGTCTGTGCCTGGGGGGTTCCTGTCCCACAGCCAGTGAGGTGAGCTCTCCTTCAGGGGAATTCACACTCCTGGGGAAAAGAAAATCCTGTGGGTTCGTTCCAGCAGTTCCTGGGACAGGACTGAGCTGTCAGCCAGCAGTTTGTGCTCGTAGGGCTCAGTGTGCCCTGTGCACTCGTAGGTCTGTGAGTGTCCAAGAAACCCCCGTGCACTTCAGCTGTGGCAGCTCCTTTGTGCCACCAGTCACACCTGCTGTCCCCACTGCCACTGCTGGCTCTGGGGCTGAGGCACTGTCCACTCATTCCAGCTGGGATCTGGGGTTGTGCAGAACCCCCAGCCCTCCCTCCCCGAGCTCGCTCTCTCTGCAGCCTCAGAAGGTGAAATACACAGGGGTGGTTTGTGATTAGGACAACAATCCAGTATTTCCTATTTATGAGATTAATTTGTAACAGTTTCTTTTTTGTCGAGGTTTGGTTTTTTGTTGGATATGAACACAACAGGAGTATTTACATATCATTGGTTTGGGTTGGAAGGGAACTTAAAGCTCATCCTGTTCCAACCCCCTGCCATGGGCAGGGATGTCTCCCACTAGACCAGGTTGCTGTTCCCTAAATGGATGTTGGAAAAAGCTTGGGATATCCTAGGGATGGAGCAGGTGGTGTTGGCTCGTAGTATCCATATCATTGTGCCCCAGTTGTGTTCTCTAGAGCAATCTTTTTCCTTTTTTTTAAAGAAAAAAAAAAGTATTTTATCTAAATGCCTAATAAATAATATTATTTAAATAGTTTTTAAAATAATTTAGGACTGAGAATAAGAAGCCTCAGTAGTGAGAGAAGAGACTTAAAATATACAGAGAGAGAAAATACCCTGAGCCTCCTAGAGCCTCTACTGAGAATTTGCTAAAGACACAGAGCCCCTGGTCAGAGCACATTGCAATTAACTCACAAGTGTTCATTTAAAATGAGAGACTGGTTTCCTGTGATGTTCATCTTTGTTGCCCTTATGTTTGACTTTCTGAATTCAGAGCTGATTTCCTTCTCATTCGAAAGTTGGTCAAGGAAAGAAAAAAAACTTAAAAAAAAAAAAAGGCAAAAAATAATATTTCACCTTGTGCAGCAGCAACTTTTCCTGGTGTGAGCTCTGGAAATCCACCTTGTGCATTGTGTGGCACGCAGGGGTGGTTCAGTTTTGCTGCTGTGTTCAGACAGGCTTTTCCCTGGCCAGGGAGCCCTGGGGAGCAGCAGAGCAGCCCCAAAGCCGGGCGGGAGCGTGGCCAGGGAGGGACGGGCAGGCTCCAGCCGTGCCAGCTGTGCCAGCTGTGCCAGCTGTGCCAGCTCCCCCTGGCATGGGCAGAGGGGAAGGTGCTGGGCCAGCTGCAGGGCACAGCACCACTTCTGTGGCTTGGGAAGCAAATTTGCACTTTGCCTTTCGAGGGTGTCCCACTTAAAAAAAAAACCATCCGGCGAATTTCCCACGTCAGGTTCTTTTTCCTTCTGGTGTAGTCCAAAAAGAAACTGAAAATGAGAGTAAAGGAAGCCCTAGTGTAAGTGTTGGATCAGCTCTGCCAAACAAAAGGTTGTTCCTCTTGGAATACTCTATGCATTTCTGTGGTGAAAAGCAT